CTAGCAGTGCTGTGCCCCTGACTGCTTGTTCAGTAGAGCGAGAGAGAGCGCGAGCAAACAGCGTCCTCTCTCCACCCCGTTCCCCTAGAAGTGCTGGAACTAGGGGCGGGCCACTCCGCCCTGGCTTGAAGTGGTTTCCATTACATTCAGGGTTTACAGTGTGCCTAAATGGCTCTCCGCACCCCCACTATGCACATTGTTCCAGCCCCCCTGCACTAACTTATTTTCTTGGGGGCCGGAGTGTGTGTGAATTATACTAAGTACTATTTCGTATGATATTTAAAAGGATTTTATTTTTCCTTAATCCCAAAGACTCCCCCATCCCTAGGGTGCATATTTCCCAAAGGTAAAATGGGACACCACATGAAGCTAGCCCCAATTGCTTGCCTAAAATGCATTCCCCCCCCCCCAATTGTCACTGGTCACTCAAATCCTGCTGGCCCCCCACTTGAAGCTGTCACTAGAACCCTGTCTGCCCCGCACCCACAGTGGAACCCTTCCTCCCACACCCTCCAGCCCAGGCTGGCATCTCTGCTTTTCCCCCACCTGTTTCTCTGCACCACATCCTATGTTTTTGAAAAAGTTAGCAAGAATAAAGGGGATAAATGCCCACTTTTGCCAAAGAAGTCAAGATGGCTGGGACTGGGCTTAATAAAGGGACTGTCACAGCCAAAACAGAACATGTAATCACCCTATAAAACACCATCTTTCCTTCGCACAGTTTGTAATCCACCCACTGCTACACTGGGCTAGCACATAACCCAGGAAGTGAAAGGATTAGAAATAAAGGTACAACTGTGGGCATGGCTTCACTACAGCTGACTAGCTTCCCTCAACCTAGCCAGATCTAGGTCAGCTTAACTACAGCACTCAGTGTGAATATTTCACACCTCTGAGCAACATAGCTATGTCAATTATAGACATAGACTAGACCTAACTCAAGTTCATGGCTCCTAGTGAATGATCTGCTGAAAGAAAGAAAGAAAAAAAACCCACAAACAAAAACAGTAAAGATACCCAAAAGTAAATTTTATAATCAACTTTAATAAAAAACTTGTGTTCCTTTAAATACACCTTTCATTACCAAGGAAAGAGATTTCCCCTACTCCATCTGAGACACTTGTCAGATTTGCCTTCACATATTTTTTTATTTGTACTTTTGTAATTACTTTCCATACTTTAGCTGTTTCTTCCTCAAAAGAGCTTTCATATTTAAGAGCAGCATAAACCCACACAGTACATTTTCCTGTCAAACCTCAGCCATTATTGTTACGAAGAGAGAGCAGGAACACATAAAGGAGATCTTAAGCAGAATAAAGTTCTAATCAAAGATGAAGATAATTCATGAATTGAAATAGGTCATTTTTTAAAAAGTATCCTCTACAAGCAGAGCTTTGTAAATTAGCATTTAAGGCAGTTGAATGCAGTGTCATTGTATTGACCCACTTGTCTCACAAAAGGAAGTCCTTTTTTATGGAACAGGTTACAATGTTTCTGTTTTGTTTAAACTAGAGATACAAGCATAACTAGTACAGTACAAGCCCATGGTAATCCTGAGTGACAGCTAAGTATGTTTTTGAAAAGAATGATTACTTTATTATTATTATTATTATTAAAGGTGCAGTTAAGATATGCAGACTGCGCAGCTGTTGGGGCACTGTGCATGTGATACAATCTGGCTCAAGATTTTCAAACACAACTAAGAAGGGACAGATAATATACAAAATAATGGTAGAGAAAGGTATACCGGGAATTTTTTGTTCACCACGGCTCATTACAAGAACAAGGGGACATTCAGTGAATCATAAAAATGTAGGGCTGAAAGGGACCTTGGGAGGTCATTCAGTCCAGCTATCCACACGGGGGCAGGACCAAGTATACCTAGACCATCCCCGGCTGTGTTTGTCTACCCTGTTCTTAAAAATCTCCAAGGATGGGGATTCCACAGCTTCCCTTAACCTATTCCAGGGCTTACTTACCCTTAGAGTTTTCTTACTATTAACCTAAATCTCCCTTTCTGCAGATTAAGCAGATCATTCCTTGTCCTGTCTTCAGTGGACATGGAGAACATTGCTCACAGTCTTTCTTGTAACAGCCCTTAACATATTTGAAGCCTTACCAGGTCCTCTCCTCAATCTTTTCCTCACGACTAAGCATGACTTTTTTTTTTAAAAGAACTTTTCCTCCTAGGTCAGGTTTTCTAAACTTACCATTTTTGTTGTTCTCCTCTAGATTCCGTACATTTTGTCCACATCTTTCTTGAAGTGTCTCACCAAAACTGGACACAGTACTCCAGCTGAGGCCTCATCAATGAGGTGTAGAATTGAACAATTAGCTCCCATGTCTTTCATATGATGCTCCTGTTAATGCATCCCAGAAACTAGAAGATGGCAAATTGAAAACTGATAAAAGGAAGTATTTTCATACAATGCAGGTTAGTCTGTGGAACAGTCAGAGACCAGGACTTAGGCATTCATGCCTAGTGGTTGGAACGGGAGTCAGGCAGCCAGGAATAGAAACCCAGGTCAGAGCCAAAAAATGAGAAATCGGAACCAAGGCTCACAGCTGGGTTACCTAGAGAGAAGCAAGGGAAAGGCTGGGTACAAGCAAGAGCTATCACAGTTGTGGGCAAATGCTTTGAGCAGGCACCAAACTGCTGGTGCTGGGATAGAGAGCTATTCTGCTAACTCTTCCTACTCATCAGGTGGAATAGCCAATCAAGCAATCTGTTACAGGCCAGTGGCATTCTTTAGGTTGCCCAGTGACTGATTCTGCTGCATGCCCTGATTCCAGATGGGAACTGAATACTAAATAGTATAATTGAGCCCAGAAGTTTAGCAGACTTAAAACAGCGATTAGACATTTACACAAACATAATATACAGCAGTAAGTACCAAATAAAAAGCCATGAATTTTGGAAGAGATATAAACCCTCATGCTTCAGGACTAAAGGCAACCAATAATTATAGGTTGCCTAAGAGGAAACGTACCCTGCCTCTTACAGGTCTTTTAGCACCTTCCTCTGAAGCATCTGGTGTTGGCCGTTGTCCATAACAAACTATTGGATTAGCTGCACCACTGGTCTGATTTAGTATAGCAATTCATGTGTTCCTCACACTGCTGCTGTTGGTGGAGTACTGAAAACAGTTTCACATGGTAATTTTAACTTTTTCTGTTGCTTTGCAGTTTTGCCTTAAAGGATGAACAACAACAGGAAGTGTGTGCTGATTACAAATAAAAATAATTACGCAAGAGTATCCTGCCTCCATTTACCTGTTTCTCTCCCAATAAGGAATGAACCCAGACCAGAAGCAGAACACTATTTTAAAAAAAACTAATTATTTGTTCTCTACTGAAGTAGATTTTTGTAAATAGAGTAATAGTGTACTGTAGAAAGGTGGACTCACCACTGGCATGCCCCTTTGCAGCTGTATGTGGCATAGCAGCTATCCTTTCTAGCAGCCTCTGTCTACAGTCACTTCAGTGGTCTCTTCTCATGACATAGCCCTCCAGTCAGGTCACATCACATTTAAGTCCATCCTTTCCGGAGTAACAGAAAGTCCATCAAACAGAGGTTGGAATACATAATCTCAAGACCTTGTCTCTCCAGCCCTCTGACTTGGGGCCCACTGGTCATCGCACTCTTCTCTCCTTTCTACTGGGGAACCCATGCCCACCATCTACATTGTGTTCCAATCCAGATACCCTATGTCTGCTGTCAGACACTTCATCACTGCCTCCCTGGACTCTTTCCTATCATTAGCCTTTCTTCAGGCATTTTCCCCAGCCCCTTCCTGGGGCCTTTGTAACAAGCAGCATCTCCCAGGGCTTATCCCCAAAGGTCCAGTTCTTAGCCTTATGTCAGGGTCGGCCACAGGAGTTTACTCCAGTTCTGTGGATACCAGCTATCATCCCTCTCTGGACTTCCTCCTTACTCTCCAGACCTTCCTGTTCCCCACAGATCTTTCCACTCTCTACTTCCCTACTCCCCAGAATGAGACCATTTTTCTCTCTCCCCATGCAGCCCTTCAAACTTCAGACTCAAACACATTTTAAGATTTGCCATCACAGCCTCTTGGGATTTACTGCCTCAAGTTTACTTTTAGCTCAGGAGGTCCTGCCTCTGGCCCTAGACTTCACTACCTCTGGCTGAGGACCTTCTGATTCTAGAACAAGCATCTCACAGCCTTTAACCCAAAAGAGGAAACTACCTTTCTCCTAGTTTTCTTCCCTGGCCTTCCCTCCATTAGCCTGTGATCCTTCCTTTATGAAAACCAAGTGGCATTGGAACCACGGTCATAGCACCCCTCAGATTTGGCCCATCTGTGGAGGGGTGGAGAGGCCAAATGTAAAGGGAGCTGTGTCCAGCTTTACCCACTTGAAATGTTGGGAGGTATGGGCTCCTATTAACCGTTTCATTGCCTGTTTGGGGATACAGATACCTTACAAAAAGAACAGGAGTACTTGTGGCAC